ACTGCCCTCATTATGCATTCAGAAATCCCACCACATCAAAACTGGGTACACAGGTAATTATTACTTAAAGGTTTTTTGTTTGCTATTATAAGCATTTCTTCTATCGAGCTAAACTGGAAAAAAATGTCAAACCTAATGGTTTCCAACCAGCATTTACAGATTTGCAAACATGTGAGAGTTGCATATTGTTTTTTAATGCAGACTTTCTCCTTAAATGTATGTGCTGCAAAGCCTTGAAAGTAAGTATGATACTGTATCCAAACAACATTTAGGAAGAGAATGTTTGGTTTACAGCTTAAATCCTTATCTATACCTTTTCTTTCCTGCATGCATAACCAATTTTAGCATGAGCTTCAGAGAGCCAAAAGTATCTTCCTTTTCACATCACGGAAAACAGCAGCATACACCTCTCCATATGGGTGCCTTTTTTCACTTTTAGAAACAGCATCTGCAAAAACCTGCAAGTACCTTTTCTTTCAGAACTTCACCTCTCCATCATGGCCATCTCTCAACTGGCAACTTGTCACGGGGGGTACTCGCGCAGAGTAATTGTGCGCAGACCACCTGATAGCCATGAGACAGGGACGACTGAGCCAGGCTATGCATGTGACTAACAAGCAAAATGCATTACAGTCCACTGCTAATCCCTTGAGCCTTCCAGTTGTTCATCATACCCTGCTGCTCGGTACATCTTCAAGAGAGTCAAGGTGAAGTTTCCACGTGCAGATTTAGACGAAGGGATCCCTCACGTTACGTGTCCATGTGCGTCTTCCAATGTGCTCTCCTACTTTTCTTTTGGTTTATTTATTTGGAGAGGATGTTTGTGTGGGTACTGCTTGGAAATCACCAAACCTAGTATATCAGAGAGCCATCCTGGTATGAATGTTGCTTCTCTTAAGGAAAACTTTAATTTTTCCACTTACAAATTTTCTCAGGCTTTGGAGTTCCAGGTTAATTTTTTTAACTTTTCAAAGAAGACTTCTGTAAATATTGTATTTCCAGTAAAACCAGAATTTTTCTATGCAGAACAAATGGGAACGTTGCTTGGTTTCTACTGACCAAATCTGTATAATTTATTAGGTTTCAAAAATATGCAGACCAACGTCAAAGGAAATAATTATAGCTTGAAAGTTCAGGCTAGCAACTGCTATCCATAATCATAACATAATTTTATTTTATATGTGTGCAAGTCCTGGGTTGTGGGGAGGGAAAGTTCTTCAAAACACTGAAAGCATCGCAATAAGGATACGTTGTACCTGCTAGAGCCTCGGTGACATAAGGTCTGTAAGAGGTATCACTCACTGGGGAACCAAGGGGTAGCAATGAAGGGCCTGGTATCACAATCTTCAGGAGAGTACAAATCCCACTTCATTCTGCACTGGCCAGCTCCAGGAGCCCCAAACCTCTGCTCTCGCATTCCAATGCTCTTTCTTCATGCTTTAGAGTTTGTTCAAAGCCAAAATATGGTATCAGATAATGTCAGTAGAAAAAGCCCTTCAAGAGCACAGAAAATGCAGAGGCAGATCCATATAATCAAAAGAACTACAGATTGTATAATACACATTTAGCCTCTATGTCTAGTGTGTATGTCACTGTGCATATTTATTTTATTTTTCTGCTACTGCCAGAAACAAGAGCAACTTGGTGTCAGAGACCAATGAAGTTCAATTTCACATTCTACTTGTCATGAGTTGGTCAAAGGATAAAGAAAAAACAACAACAAGACAAGCTCTTTAACAATATCTAGGCATTATTAAAGATGTAGATGTAAACAGTGAGGAGAAAAACAGCCTATGCTAAGTCTTTGCAATTGGACTGTAGCTAATTTTGAAAAATTGCATCCAAAATTATATACCATATTAAATAAAGGAATACAAGGGCTTCAATTGTAATGACTGACATATTACAGGAAACACTGACAACACAGGTCAAGATTTACTTTTTTTTTTGACAGATTTTTAAAAAGGCCAACTCATAAAGCAAGTGTGGAGCACAAAAGTCCTAAAACCTCAGCAATCATTTTTAGTACATGATTAAGTGTAATGTTCTATTCATATATAATTACATGAATTAGATATAGAATTTTAAGGGGAAATGTTGATCATTCTGTTAGCAGTTTGCAAATTCTTGACTTTCTTATCTCCAAGAAAAAAATTTTAATGAAATGTCATACCACAAAATGTTAAACTGTTTATATCATGTTTTTAAATTCCAACGTTAAATTGAATAAGTTAAGGAGGGGAAAACAACCAAACAAACCACATCCTTAAACACTTCTATGTAGCCATTAAACAGTGTTACATAATAAAGTCAAGTTGACAATCACTGACAAATCCATGGAATACAATGTTGTGTTTAGAATATATCAGGGAGAAAAAAAATGAAACTTTTTGCAATTCCTTGCACACATGGACATGAGTGTTAGCACAGTAACTCTGAATTATTCACATATATATGTGAATTATTCAATAAGAATCCACAGAAAGTAGACATGAGAAAGATTTCTTTTGGTTCTCTCACTGGGACTGCTTTTTACGTAGCTAGTGAGATAACTCCACTGCAACCTGTGGAGCAGCAGAAGAGGCAGCAAAGGGAAGGAAAGGTCCTAATATGCAGAAAACTTCTTCCACAGTAGGAGGAGCTACTTCTTCTGAAATTCCTTTTGCTAGCAGGTCCAATAGGGTTGACATAGCATATGTAAGAAGTCACACTTTTCACCAGCAGCCTCAGCAGCCTTTCCAAGTCACCATGCAGCACAAAGCACGTGTATGACAAAAGCAAAGTTTAAGGAATTTCCAGTTGTTACTTCAGTTACCCTTTATACCCTAAATCCTAGATAAGTGTTTTGCAATAACTAGTTACTTCTTGCATACAGAGAATTCCCTCCAATTCCCCATTTTATCATGTAATGAAAGCAGGATTAGTCCTTGAAAGTTCTTCTTCACCAGAGTCTTGGAAACCCTTAAAAGTGAAACAAATAGGATCTAAAAAGAGACATACATCTCCCCCTACCTGCAGAGTCCTTTATCCTCCTGCCCCAGGGAATGACATTCAGAGAACTAGTTCAGGTCTCAAAGATGAAATAAACTCAAATCTCACAACCTGACATAGCAATAGTATGTGAAAGTATTCAGACTGGAAGTGTTAGAACCCCTCCATGATGCCTGTTACTTACCAAACTGACACATTTAGACTGAGAGGTTTTAAAGACAATTCCAGTATGCCTTTCTATACCAATTAAGAAATGACTGATCTGCTTTAAGTGTTCTCCCACTAATGAATTATCTGATCAACAATACCCACCAAGACACCACATTTAAGAAGTCTGTGTACAAGTCTGTAACTTTTCATTCTCTCAAGGAAAGAAACTCGAGGTAATAACTTAAAGAATTTTCTTTTTTCATCCAGATCCCTGATAGCCACTGCAGATTTGTCATTCCATGGAGAAGAAAATGCTAAATACTTGGGAAAAAAGAAAAAAAAAAGGTAGGTCTTAACTACTTTTCCTTTCTTGAAAATTGCCTTTTACTGTTGTAGGAACTGGTATCTTATTATCACAATTTCATTAAAGCTGTGTCATCATATCTGTCTAACACCTCTCTAAGAAAGTTCAGGTTTCGTTTGAAATGAAATAAAAATTGCTTATAGAGAAGTAGTACTGTCTGGTAGGATTCCTGATGCTTAAGGTTTACTTAAAAGCTTTTATTCCTTAACTCTAGCAATCACTCCTTCCATATATAGGCCAAGTTCACTGTAATAGTTTAACTTTCAGCTGGAACGTGGAGGTTCATTTAGGCAATCCAAACTACACAACAAACAAGTACCTTAACTTCTCAGGCTCTAGCTTTGTTTCTGGTTTCCCCTAAATGCTGGACCCTTCGTAGAGCAGGGTTATGTGCTGTATCAGGTGTGTTTAGGGGGGGAGGGGACAGGAGAAAGGGGGAGACAGCTCACTGTACGTCAAAGCAAGCCAGCAACCTAGCAACCATATATTAAAAGGTGTGTGTGTTTTTGTGGGTGTCTGTGTGCCAGGAATAACTGAAGCAGATATTATTCCGTTTGTAATTCAAAAAATGTGAAAAGGGAAGGGGAGAAACTCCAGCTGCTGGTCTATTTTGGGGTCTGTCAAAATCCACTTTCACAATACAGTCTTAACACTTTCTATCCCATTTGTCTTAATCAAAAACTAAAGTGTGGACCTGAGCAAGTTTTAGCTTTGGTTTGAAAAGAGACCCTTCAAAGCAGGAGCTGAACTTACTTCACATCCTATGCTTTCTTCCAGCTGGAAACATGCAAAAATCAAAAAGGCAGTGAGGTTGCCTCACAGACTTCACACTTAGGTGAGGAAAATACTGATCTAGTGTATTACAAATGTACTGAATACCTCTAGATAGACACATTTAATTTAACAAACAAAGCGTCAAAGATTCTCAGCCAGCTTTAAAAATATTTACTTGAGTGGCAAAATCGAAAAGGTAAATTTCTCAAAGTTTCTCATTCCACGAGGGAACTGAGAATTTAGATCATCAAAGGCAAGCTCCTACCCCGCCATCGTATGAGGTCCCAGGGGTGCATGTAAACTTCTGATCTGCACCGTACCACTACACCAGCATGTGCCTCACTGAGAGTGAGTGAACACCAGGTGCAACTGTCGTGCCACCAGATGAAAACGAATGAGTCCCTGTGTGGGGTGGAAAACGAATGAGTCCCTGTGTGGGGTGGAACAGAGAGGAGGGAACAGGGACACGTCTCAGGACTGCACCCAGCACCTCACACCGTCCAGCCACACTTCCCACGGCTTCCAACAGCCCATGGTAACCCTACCGCAAGAAACAGACAGCACACTGCCATCCAACAACAGCTCTTCGCCGTCCACTCCAGTGCCACCTCGCCTAAGTGTCCCGGTCTACAAGGCTCAGCTCCTACTACTACTCCTCCTCACCAACAGCACCGCACCAAACCATCACCGGCAGCAGGAGGGGAAAGGGAGGGGGAGTTACCTTGTTTTTGACCCCGCAGTGGCAGCAGACAGTCCACAGGTACTTGAGGGTCCTCCACAGCAGGATGATAAATAGTCCCCCAAAGAAAGTAACCATGGATGAGGCGAGGAAAGCCCACCACATGCGCTGTCCGCGGCTATCGCAGGGCACCTCCATGGTCACCGGGATGATGAGCGCATCCATCTTGGGCACATTGACGGGGGAGGAGGACGAGTCTGTGTTGAGATTGTTGGCGTTGATATTGTTACTCATTCTAATGCCGCCGCCGCCGCCGCTGCCGCCCGGGTAGGAGCCGCCGCCGCTGCCATTTGCCATAGCTAACAGCGAGCCGGGCGCGCAGGGGCTTCCGAGAGCTCCTCCCGCCGCCAGCGCCCCCCAAAAAACCCATCACCAGCCATATTGCTGCTGCTGCTGCCGCCGCCGCTGCTCAGCGGGGAACGGATAAGGAGAGTAATAAAAAAGCCCCCAATCAAAACAAACAAACAAAACAAAACAAAACAAAGAAAAAAAAAAAAGAGCAGGTGAAGAAAAGCGACGGCACAATTCCCGGGTCCCTCTCGGGAGCCGTCAGGCCGGTGAATTCCGAGCGTCCTCGTTGTACGGCGAAAATAATATTTAAAAAAATTAAAAATATTAATAAAAATATAGTCTCCTCCTCAGATTCCCACCCCTTCCTTCTCCCGCATACACGGCCCCCACCCCGCCCACCCCAAAAGATCATCCACCACCACCACAAACTGATGCCTCGGAGCGTCTCTCCAAGATACCCAGCGCTGCGACCCCGCTGGCCTCAGCGGGGATCCCTCACTCAGTCTCCGCCGCGGATCCTCCAGGAGGTGGTCTGTTATTATTGTTATTAGTCTTTAACTTGTTATTAGCGATACTCAGTCCCCCCCGCGCACCCTCCTCCTCCTCCTCCTTTTCCAAGTCCAGCCCCTTCCCTCCTCTTCCCCCCTCGGTGCCGGCAGCAGCCTCCTGTGGCTCCTAATTCATCCTCCGCTGGCCCATCTGTGCGTGCGCTGCCGCCGCCTCCTCGCCCATCCTTCGGGAGCTCTCTCCGGGGCCCGGCTGTCGCTCAGGCTGTTGCTCCCACACGCGCAGCGGCGCCGCCGGCTCCCGCCCCTCCCTATCGGCCGCCGGGGGACGCGACGGCCCCGCTCCCGCAGCCGCGGCCCCTCCGGGGGCGCATCCACGGCCCCGCGGGGCGGGGGTGCCGGGCCGGGCTGGGGTGCCGCGCTGCCGCTGCCGCCGGGGATGGGGGGCGCCGGCTCAGGCGGGCTCCCGGCGCCCCATGGGCAGCGCCCGCCGCGCTCCCCGCCCCGCGGCCGCTCGGTCCCGCTCTCGGGGCCGCCGAGGCGCCGAGCGACCGCTCCGGAGGACGGCGAGAAGGGAGCGGTGGGGGCTCGTGTGTCGCCGAGGCGCTTCACAGGTGGCGGCGAGGCGGTGCCCGGCCGCGCCGGGGAGGTGCCGGTCCAACAAGTCCCGCCGGCCCCGGCGCGTCCATCGCCGCCGCGCTCTCCGCGCTCTCCGCAGCCGCGGTGGGGCGGGGGCGGGCGGCGGCGGCCCCCCCGCGCCGGCCGTGCGCGGGGCCGGTGCCGAGGATGTCATGACGCAGCGGCCAACGCACGGCGCTGTCACGGCCCCGGCCCCCGCCGGGCCCCCGCGCACATCTCCCGCATCCCACCTCGCGCATCCCATCTCCCGCATCCCTCCCCCGCTGCGATGGGCGAGCGCGACCCCTCCGCAGCCCGGCCGGAACGGCGCCTTCGGGGCCGGGGCTGCAGCCGCGGGGCTGGGAAAGGCAGTGGGGGGGGACAGGGGGGCGCGCTCGGGGCTCTCGGGAGGAGGTTGAGCTGCAGCAGCAGGTGCCCGGGGATGCGCACGGCGGGGGAGGGAGGGGGGGGGGCTGGCATGGAAACGCGGTAAGGGAGCGTGAAATAAACATCGGGGAAACGCGGCGTGGGGTTTTTTTCCGCTGAAGGCATTCGTGGTTTGTCTTTGACACGGGGAACTACTAGGAACGCGCTCCGCAAACGCACCATAAATTGCCGCTCATCCCAAGAACATTCCTGAAATTAACCCTTAGAAATATAAATAGCAATTTAAAATTACCCACTTGGAGAAGGAGGGGAGAGGGGAAGCCAGCAAGAAAATCTGGATAGTTGTTTCCTACCTTTTTTTTCGGATTCACGTTGAGAAGCAGAGGAATTTATATGTCTGTGGATGTATTTATTTATATATAAATCAAAATCTCCATTTGGCACATGGTCTGGTTACTGAGTTGTCAGTACAAAGTATTATGCAGCTCCTCTTGACATCTTTCCAAGGGTAAAATACAGCAGCGTTTGTGTGCGTGACATTCCCCCATCTTATCTAGTCACTACACCAGCAGAGAGCCACCATTATGAAATAGTAATCTCTTAACCTTTACTACTAATAGTTTCTGTTTCTGCATCTGTCCGGGGTTTGTTTTTGTTTTCCACTTAAGTGATGGGAATGAGTTTTTATGAGTTCTCAAAGCTTTTTATGGGGCTCTCTAGCTCTCTCACCCCCAAATTTTTTGTGCAATAACACCACCATTTGTCTAACTCCATGAGTTTATCATGATGTCTCACTCCAGTCTGTTACTTCAAAAGAACGCTTCCTTTTTCAAGAAGGGTTTAATAGAGGCCTCTGAATAGAGAAAGATAATAATATGGGGGTGTATACAAGTGAGAAAAATACTATATTGCTCTGTCTTGGAGTAAAACAGATAGTCAGTTATGTAGTGCACCTGATGCAGCTCATTCCCAAGAAACTGTTTTAAGAGGGTATTAAAATAAGGATTTCTAGATGCAGAAAACAAGTCAGATTGAAAAGAAACTGCATGTCACAGCTGCCACATGCAGCCCAGACTGCCACAGCTGATATCCCCTCCCATGTCTTTTCATTACCAACTCTCTCCACAGCTAGAAAGCCGGGCCACAAAACAGTGTTGTGACAGGATCACACACCTTGGGTTCTGGGCTCAGAACCTAGTCCTGATGGTCATTTGCTTGGCATTCCTGGGTTGATATTCCAGCAGCACCCTTTTCATAGTTGCACACATACCTACAGATCATTTTATCCATCAGCAAACATCAGGAGTGGAACAAGGGCAGGAGCATCGTAACACAGCCACTTGATGTCTGATCTTCAGAAGTACCAGGTACTTACAGGCACTCTTACAGCTAATAGAAACCACAAACCCTGTGCACCTTGAAAGACTGGGACAATAAAGAGCAGCTGCATAGCATATCCCAGGGAAGGCTTTTGCATGATGGAATTTCTTATGTATTCTGGTCTGGCAGATAACAAAGGGATGAGTCTCTGAAGCCACAGAGATGACATATGTCTTCTCTTGCTGTTGTTTCAGATGGCCCAGAAGATTTGATAGAGGTGCTGCAGTCTGAAAATGTGTTTTTTTGCTTTATGCATTCAGAAGGTATGAGTTTAAAGGTATTTATTTGATTCTGTGTACTGCTGCAGCTCAGTGCTGCAGACACCAGTTTGAAGAGCACTCCAGATATGAACAGATTAGACACTTCTAAAATGTCATCCCCACCATACTGTACCCACAAAGGACAGTCCTAAAGAAAAATTCAAACTAAAGCAAAGCAAGAACACTACAGAATATAGTCTGTATATTAAAATAATTTGATCTGAACATGTTCACATGAAATTTACACACAGACTTGGAAAGGGGTAGGAGATTTATTGTGATCACTTGTAAAAAGCTGTTTTAAGTTCTGATGGTCAATCACTATTCATAAACCAAGGAACGTACATTATATATACTATGTATATACTATATACACACTATATATCCAGGGGAAAACCTTTTCTGTTATCTGTATAAACAAAACTTTTATTTACATAAATATGGCTCAGTTCTCCAAATATTTATGATGAAACTCACACTAGAAAGTAAATATTTGATATCAACTGGTGAGACTTACCTTGCCAGTACAAAGTTTGCTTAAGAGGAATTATCTGTGAAAGGCAAAGCAAAGTAGGAAACTTTGTATTTTGTTCACCTATTCATAGACATAAATGATCCTTGAATGAATATCACTCACATGAAGTTCCATTTGAGCTTATTCCTTTATGAATCAGGCAAGGCCTGCTTTCTAATGCAGGTTTGATAAAGCAGAGTCTGAGTAAGCCTGTGGCTACATCCTTCATTTATTGAGGCAACAATGGCATTTCATGTTGCCTTCAGACTAAACAGGACTTTCCAGATCTGTTTCCTGGAGAGATCTATTCCAAGCAAACAGAAAAATTTCACATATTAGTTTTCAGATTAGTTGTCTATCTAATATTTCAACACAAGAGCTCAAAATTTATTTAACAATACTATTTACAGAACATAACAAACACTGTGTTTACCTGTATTTTTCCTGTTGCTACCATATAGCGTAGTCAAGGACACAATCATTCCAACTCAACATAATTCTGGAGGGTTTGATTCCAGAAAGCAGTGTTTTAGCAGCAAGGAAATTGCTCCTCTCTATGTAAAACAGTTCCCTCTTGTGGATATTCTGTGTACAGTATCACTGGCAAAGTATTTAAAATATTCATCAAACCTGTATCTTTGCAATTAAAACCCCCACCTTCATTCATCAATGATCCCAACACCTAGGACATTCTTGGTATGAGAAAGAACAAGCTATTGCATTTTATTATAATACAACTTGCAAAATTACTCATTATCAATAACAAATTATTTAAGTGCAATAAACACAACAAAACTCGATAAAGTTGCATAACTGTATTTATACAACAAGGTATAAATTGAGCCCCTGGTGGTCTAGTGGTAAAGGCGCCGCGCTATCACCGCGGAGACCCGGGTTCGATTCCCGGTCAGGGCCACTCCCGAGCAGGTGGGGCTCGTTAGCCCTTAAAGGCAACCCACCTACGTCCTAAGGACCTCGCTGCCACCGTCCAAGCTCGCTTGGCCCCGGCAGATGAACCTTAGGATTAAAGGGTGGGCTCAGTTCCGCGCACACTGTGTCTCACCTAAAAAATCCAATGCGCAGGCTGGAAGGTGGAAAGACCTTCCCCGGATCTTCGCTCGCGAAGACTGGCCATTATTATTATTATTTATATAAATCACAGTGGGATTTTTATTTTTCTTATATGAGAAAAATTTCTGTGTATTTCATTAAAGGAAACCATGATTAAAAAAGAAGGAAAATATACACTATATAAAGGAGACAATAACGGCAAAACAGTCAGGGTTTCCAAGGATCCATGAACTGCAGACAAAGAAATTCTGCGATGATAAATCTTTCAATTAAAACTAAAGAGTCCAAGCAAGGAGGTGGCACAGCTTCACTGGTGACACAATGTTGCACCAGGGATTAATTTGCATGGCAGTTTGGAAAAAAAAACCTATGAATGGAGTAACAGTGTAAGATTTATGTGTTCTCTAAATGGTGACTACATTATACAAAGAATAATTTTTTTTCTTAAGTGAAATGTGAGAGAATAAATGCGTACTCCCCAGTTTTGCCTAAAGGCATTTGGTCTGGGTCTGGGGAAATGATAGAAAACAATTGCATGCTATTATCTAGAGGGAAATTATATTAAAAAAGGCTAAAAGCCTTTATGTACCAACATACCATAAACTTGTTTACCAACACTTTTTTGTTTAATGGTTATATAAA